AAAACCCAACAATATTAATAATTTGATTCAGCTTTCATCTGTCCAGCAAGCCCTTTACAATTAAGGCCAGTGAGTTGCTTGATGGATCTCTCAAGCCCGTTGACATATGTGGAATTGCTTGGGATGTTGAATTTTTTATGAAAGAATCTGTTAAGTCCAATTGTCTTTGAGGAGAAATAGGGGCATTGATGCATATATACTTCACCGAAAAAGAATGACAAAATGGTTAAGAAGTGCATAAAAAATTCGAAGAGTTTCAACCATTTTTCTACAGCTTTCTTAAACAAAGACAATAATTTTAAGGCCAATGCAACCATTGGCTGTTCTGTCCTTGAGTCGGCATCGACCATTTTTTGCTTCAAAACAAAAAGCTGGTCCATGGTTTCCAAGTTCACGCAATCAAGCCACGTACATTCTCAAACCGAGGAAGATAGATATGCTTGTGAATTGTTTGAATTGAACATCAACAAATTGCGAAAAGATGGACACATTATCTGTGCAAAATGTCAAGAAGCAGTTGAATGCATCAGAAATGGCCATCCAAGACTTGAAGAGAACTTAGAAGACATCTTTAGGAGTTTGGTTAAAACTAGAGTTTCTCTTCCTAATGTATTCAGCAGTCGGCCTTTAGTGATAATATACTTTTGTAAAATCATTGTCAACATGGATATAGTATACTAATTATTTTTGAACCATCAACGCAATTTTGTCAATCAATCCATCTCTCTAAATATGCTGATTCTGTTGTCTTTCACATTTTCTATTGAATTTTATGTTGTTTACTTTGGTTCTCCAAAAAAAAAAAAAAAAAAAAAACAAAAAACTCTAAGGTGGATCACACCCTCTACTTGGTGCAAATTGATTGGTCTTGAGAATGTGAAGTGGATTGTGCTAGTCATGGAGTAATATGGACCATAGATTAAATTCAATGGTTGGATATCTTATGGTCAATTATCCCATACTAGTGTTGTCACTTTCTTGTTGATCATAGTACTATATTTGAATTTTGAATTCAAATGAATTGGCTCTATAATTACAAGACTTCTTCTTTTATCTCATTTTTGGACTTTGCATAACATTGAGAGAAAGAATAGAGAGGTAACCAAGTGGGAGCATTCTATATCTACGGCGAAATTCTTGGTGACTTTCGGTGGATTTTTTCCCGGTATATTCATTGTCATTCCCGTGGACGATGGTGTATGATCCAGTGTGGCACAAATCTGAGCTCAAAATCATAGGAGACTGCATTGGTGGTGTTGAAGAAGCTTTGGGTCGTTTGGTTCGATTTTACACTTTGAGAATTTACATTTTCTGCATTGTAGTTGTAATAATATTTTGTATACTACACTTTAAACTCTACAAAAACACTGACAATTAATTTAACCATATGAATAAGTTAAACAGTAAAGTTAGAAACATCATGAACTGAAATTATTATTAGAAAAAATGTGCTGGATTATATTAAAAAATGACAATGTCATAAAGGAAGGCCAAGGAACTGTATTATCCAGTGATAAGCTGTCAAGATTCTGTTTGTTCTAATTATCATTGACTAACAGGGGCTAAGATAGTTTTCCAATAGCAGTGCACAGGAATTATAAGTTATTTTTACTCAATTTGGATGATTATATGATCCTGTTTGTTCCTAATCAGGTTATGTGTACTCGTGCATTCGAATAATATTAAATCAACTTCATTTCTGTCAAGATTCCTTATGCTTCAAGAAAAGTAGTGTATCATGTCACTGAGATCCAATTTTTCCGCTTCAAACGTTGGCATTATGTGTTAACAACAAAATATGCAAAGCTTGTCCCCTTTCTGTCTCACATTGAGCATGAAACTAGTGTGCAATAATATTTATTTCAGTTTCCATTGGTGATGAGACATGGGATGTGCAACATATTCTTTCTGTTTCCATTTATTCATCTCTCTATATATAGATGGTGCCAAATGCAGGTCTTAAACATCTTCCCCTCAAAACTCAATTTCAAAACGTCTTTAAAACCGTTCATTTCATTAAAGAAAGATGGTTTTCCATGTTAGATCAAACAGTTTTCCATCTAAATCTCATCCAGAAATAGCGAATGTTGAAGACCATATCTGCAGTGTAAGGTTCTCGGATGAAGCATCCGTTTCAGCTTCTTCCATATGCACACAATTGGCCAGCCTTAGAGATTTACATGAAAATATTAATAATTTGATTCAGCTTCCATCTGTCAGGAGAACCCTCATCGATCAGGCCAATGAGCTGCTTGATGGATCTCTGGAGCTTGTTGACATATGTGGAATTGCTCGAGATGTTATATTATTGATGAAGGAATCTGTTGAAGAACTGGAATCATCTTTGAGAAGAAATAGAGGTATTGATACATATATGAATTCAAGGAAAAAAATAGAGAAAATGGTTAAAAAATCCATAAAAAATCTGAAGACATTTGACCAATGTTCTACAGTATTCTTAAACAAAGATAGCAATCTTGCAAGCATGCTAAAAGAAGCACAGACTTTTGGCTTCTCTGTCCTCAAGTCTGCATTGACAGTTTTTGCATCAAAACAAAAAGCCTGGTCACTGGTTTCCAAGTTCAGTCGGTCAAGCTGCGTACATTCACAGACACAAGAAAAATTGTATGCCTTGAACATCGACAAGTTGAGAAAAGACATGGACACGTTATCTGTGCAAAATGTCATAAAGCAGTTAAAAGAATCAGAAATGATCCTCCAGGAACTTGAAGAGAATTTGGAAGCCTTCTTTAGGAGTTTAGTTAAAACTAGAGTTTCTCTTCTTAATGTCCTCAACCATTAGGCTTTTGTAATCAGGCTCATATACTTGTAAATCATTGTCAATATATATATTTATATTACAATCAATATTTGAACCTTCAATTAATTTGTGTTGATCAATCTGTCTATCTAATTATACTCGTATTTTATCTTTGTCAATATTTTATCTCAACCCAGCAAGTGCCTTTACATTCTGTTGTTGAACTTTCAGTTTTCTACTAACTTTTATGCTCTTTTTAAGGGCATGTTGATTAGGAAGGATCAGACACTGTTATAGATAAGATTTTGGCTTGGTTTATTTCTTTGGTATTGTCCAATACTGTAAACTTCACCTTACCACATAAGCCATCATTGCACCTGTTTTTATGTGGTTTTAACCTTTTCTAAACACATCAAGCACTTACAATTATTGCAACATATTTATCAGTTCAATTGGAAGTGCAAAAAATGTTATTAGCTAAACTTAATTATTGGAGAAAATATATTCTTAATTTTATTCAATTATGGCAGCATGATATTGCAACAGCCAGAAGAAATATATAGTGTTAGGCTGTCAAGGTTCTGCTTGTTATTTATCATTGAATGATCAGTGGGTTAAACAATAACCATGTTTATTTATCTCAAGATTGGTACTTCTGAAAAATGCAATTAAAGACAAATTAAACCACGTAAAAATGGGGCTAAGTTGTTTAAACCGCAGTTTATTCCTGAGTTTTTAAATTTCTTACACCCTTTTGATGATCAGATGATCCACTTTTTTGTTGAGTTTGTTGCACATAATATATCTCAGTCATTGTCCATAGATAAGCATCATCCTGGCCTTAATGAGTTGAATGACTAACATTATTATATCCAACTTCATTGCTGTCAAGATTCCCTATGCTTCAAGAACATCAAAACATCATGTCATTGAGATCTGAATGATCCAAATTTTCATCTTCAAAGGCTGGCATTATGTCTTAACAACAAAATATTAAAGTGTTGTCCCAGTTTTGGCATGAGACTCATGAAATAATATTTATTTGAGTTTTTAGTGGTGATGAGATGTTGGATGTACAACATATTCTTTCTGTTTTCTCTCATTTATCTCTCTACATATAGGTGGTGCCAAAGTGATTGATTTAAACATCTTTCCTCAGGATTCAAATTCTATAGAAGTCTTAAAAACCATTTCTTTCACTAAAGAAATATGTCTTTCCATGTTAGATCGAACAGTTTGCCATCTAAATCTCATCCAGTAATTGCTAATGTTGAAGATCATATCTGCAGGCTAAAGTCCTCAGAAGAAGGATCAGTTTCAGCTTCTTCCATACGCACACAATTGGCTAGCCTCAGAGATTTGCATGAAGATATTAATAATTTGATTCAACTTCCATCTGTCCAGAGAGCCCTAGCAGATGAAACTGTAAGTATTATGCCCTAGGTCCAATCAACTTTGGACATAAATACTTTTGATATATAATTAATGCAATTTAATGGCAGATCTATTATTTAATTAATAGAAAATTAAATAAATAATAGAGTCCATAGATTCAAATCTTCGTAATTTGTCAATCACAAAGAGTTGTGATTGCGAGATACAAATTATATCTGATTGAATCTTAAATCGTCCGTGGTCGTAAATAATGACGAGATACGGATATCGTTATTACGGATAGATCATCATGTGTGGCATTTCTTACTTGTGAAGTAAGTAGCTGATCTCACAAGTTAAAGTGTGGTGACACTTAAATGAACACGTGGATGTTTTGTTATAAAACAAAACATTGGAGATCCGTGGAGAAATTCCACATGGATAACTATCTGAGTGTCAGTGGTTAATCTCTAACGTTCGGTAGTGGAATTGGTTCTTTGACTTAAGATCGTCATGATACCTTATATGAGGACAGTCATACTTTGGCGATGTTAGATGTTGCTCTGCAAAGGGCCGCTAATACGACATCGTTCGGGTACGTCAAGAATCGTATGAAGGTTTGTGATTGATCAATAAAGGATTCATCACTCTTAGATAATAGGAGATTGTAATCTGCGTTTCATTCAATTAAGTCGATGATGAAATCATTGGCCAAGGTGTGCTCATAAGTCGAAAAGGAGTTTTCGACTTATATTGACTTAATAGTGGAGTGAAAGATATGATCGATGATTGAGATTGACACACTTTTATATCTCGTAATTGATCGGATCATATTGATGAAGAGATTATAGTTTCACGGTAAACGAACGAGTTTGCTTTTGTCACACCACATAACATTTCTCGTCACATGTATTGCCCTGACACATTGCTAGATGTCAATCAGGAACGGCGAGTGTGAATTGACGATAAATTAAAAGGGTGTTTTAATTTATCAATTTTGATTAGATCAAAATAATATTTCACGTCGTTAGACATCGTGGTCAAGAACCTAATGGGTCACACACAAAAGAGAATTGAAAGATTTCAAATTGTCAATTAGTTAATTTAACAATGGTTGGATAAATTAATTAATTGGATTTGTTATTTATATTCCCAAATTAATTAATTGGATTAATAAATTCACAGACCGAATTTAATTAAATGGATTAATTAAATATTGAACGGGACCGGGCCGGGCCGAGCCCATTTGTGTTTATATAAATACATAGCTAGGGTTTGAGGTCCATATGGTTTTCATTATTCTTGTTGGCACAAGAGGAAAACCCTGGTAGCTGCGATCTTGTTTTCTGTGTGGATCACCGTTGGAGGCTGGACAATTAGACAGCTGTGAGTAGCGAATCAAGATTGCTGGAACGAGTAGAAAAGTAAAAGGTTTGTAGAATTCTTCAAAAGTATAATCTTTATCACGATTTCTATCTAAACACAAAGGGATCCTCGGTGGGAATCGAAATAATTTTAATTATCCGCTATGCATGTATAAGTAGATTCCCAACAGTGGTATTAGAGTCTACTTTATGTTTGTTAGAGATTGTTTATTGTCTTGTATATGTTAATAATCAAAAGTTGATTGTTGATTTCTTGTTTCTAGCAATTAGAAATTTATATCAACAAAATGGTTTTGAATATAAAATGAACTTTGGATTGGAATCTGAAAAAAAAAAAAAAGGAAATTGGTGGCAGAGCTTCCGGTAGCGCGGTGGCAGTCGGTGGGCAGCGGCAACAGTCGTTGCTGCAACGGGCAGCAGCGACTATTGCTGGCACTGTTGCAGCGGGACTCGCCTTGCAGTGACGAGCCTCGCTGTTGTTGGTGCAGCAGTGAGTCGCTGCTGCACCGGACGAGGCACGTCGCTTGCGAAGAGGGACGGCAAGGCTTCGACGTTGCTACCGGTGCCAAAGAAGAGAAGGGCAATTTCTAGGGTTTCTGAAAATCGGTTGAGGTGAATTGGGGACGGGGGCCTCCCTGTAATTTACGAAATTTGGGGTGGCACCTGCAATTAAAGTAAGAGGAGTCAATGTGCAATTTTAAAAGGAGGACCTGTTCTGCAATTAGTGAATTGGAAGGGTTTGATTTTTAATTTTAACTTGGGTCAAATTGCAAATTTTGAAAGTGTTTAGATTTGAATTTTAAAATGGTTTTATAAATTGAATTTCAAATGGATTTGAACCATAATTTTATTTTTGACCCAATTTAAAATTTTATTTAAAGTTGACGACTTTTTATATTTTCGTTAAAATTGAATTTTAACTTAAATATTAAACTTTGACCCCAATTGAATTTTATTTTATTTAGGAGTGTTATCCTAATTTAAAATATTGATTCAATTTCAATTAGAATTGGACTCTAATTTAGGATTTAATTAAAATTCATTTTAATTAATTTTTCACCAGAAGATATTTTTGAAATTAGAATTAGATTCTAATTTGACGTTTAATTAAAATTTGATTTTAATTAAATTGTTTCGCCCCTAAACTTTTCTTTAGATTAGAGTTAGACTCTAATTTGGTGTTTGATTAAAATTTGATTTTAATTAAACGGGCTGGCCCTAAAAATCTTAGATTTAGAGTTGGATTCTAATTCTACTATTTAATTAAATTGTGTTGCCCTAAAATTTTATTTATGATTTGAGTTAGACTCTAATTTGTGTTTAATTAAAATTTGATTTTAATTAAA